GCTATTGGATCTGGTGATATCCTGACGCTAGATCTAATGTACTGAAATATTTTGCATTTCCCAGTTGGTCTAGAATATCAGTAATATTAGGCAACGGGAATGAGTCGCCTATAGTTAATTCATTTAATTTCCGGAAGTCTATGACTACTCGGAGTTTCGGTTTTCCTGATACATCTGCTTTCTTTGGCACTACTAATAATGGTGCATTCCACTGACTCGTGCTTGTCCTGATAATTTCATCTTGCAGCATTTCTTGTACTTGCCGATTTACTTCCGCCTTATTCTTCTCGGGTAATCGGTATGGTTTCACATTCACCGGCGCGGTATCGGCACGCGTGCTTATCTAATGCTCGACCGTCGCAGTGCATGTCAGTGGTTCTCCTTCCAAATGGAATATATCATTGTATTCTTCACAGATTTCTAAGAGTATTTATTCTTCTTTATTTAAGTGTTAAGTTCGCAGTAGTTGTCAAATTTGTTGTTTACGAGGAATAGTATTTTTAATCTTCCTTCTTGTTTCTATTTTGTTTATTTCCTTTGTATTTTCCTCCATGTCTTCTAGTGTGACTATTGGAGTGGGCATTTCAACCTCTTTATCTGTTGTGTTTATCATGCTCACAGGACATGAAAAATTTTTCGTGTCCACCAGACAGTTTCCGATATAAACTCCTGGTGTTGCTTCTTTGGCTCGGACTATCCCTATCCGATTGTGACTCACTGCGACTCATACTATTGTTTCACTACGTGGTTTCAAAATGATTTTGCTACATGAATGTAATTTTAATGTGCTATCTTTTATTGTTATTTGTTTTTTCTAATAGTTGCATGTTGCCGTTTGCTTTGTGAGGAAATCTAATCCTAAGATTCCTTTGTGTTCTATCACTACATCGTCTCTTATTATGTAAAAAGCATGTTTAATTTTATGGTTGTTAATCTTAATTGTAGCGTTCATTTTTCCTAATGTATATATTTTATGTCCACTTATTCCGGTAAGTGCAATTTTTTCTTCGCAAATCAATGCGTTATCTTTTAGATTTTTTAATTTGATTAGAGAAATAGTCGATCCGGAATCGTACAGCATGTTGATTTTTTCGCCTTTCACTTCGCGGATTGGTGTTATTTGCAGTAATTCGTCCTTCTGTGGTGCATGCATATTTTTAACATGTGTTACGCGATACTCTAAGGCAGGTCGCAGTTGTTTCTTTCCTGCTTTCCTGTTTCCTCCTGCTCTTCTTCTTCGCTACCGCTTGGGGAGTCGGTGCTCTTTTTCCTCTGTCTATGCGGAGTCCTTTGCTCACGCACGCTTTCTTTATGTTTTATTTGATTAACCGGCTTAGAATTACGGTTATTAGTGTTATTTATTTTAGAATGTCCGTTCAAACTCCAGCATTCCTCACGGGTGTGTCCTGTCTTTTTACAATATTTGCAAAATTTATTCAGGGTATTTATTCGCGTGAATTTTTCCGGTTTTGGTAATGTATATTTATTACTACTTCGACAATCGCGTCCGTAGTGTCAAGATTTTCCGCATTTATAACATTGTATGTTGGTATCTCGAATTGGTCGCGTTTTAGCGTCGAATTTATTTTTATAAGAGAAGCCGGATGCTTGTGTTACAGACGGGCCGATAAGCTTCTCCTCCGCGCTCGCGGCATTTATCGTTTCTTGGAGCGAAGTATATCTTTGTGATCGCACAAGTATTTTTAGTTCATCGCGTAATCCGATTTGAAAATTTATTAGCGCTTGTTTTTTAATGGTTTCTTGTATTGCTTGTTTAAATGAAGGAGGCCGTTCTTCGCCTTCTATCATGGACTCATATAGTTTCATGGCTAGAGTATCGACACGTTAGCCGAATGCATGGACGGTTTCGCACGACTTTTGTTTTAAAGAATTGAATTCTATTTGTAAGTGTGTTGTGCTTTGTTTTGCTTGATAGCAAGTTTCGAGTTGTGTTTTTAATTCTTCAAATGTTTGAATGTCTCGCGTTTCGAAATCTTGCATGGCTTTACCTCTTAATTTAGTATATAAGATTGCTTGAATTAACGATTCTTCGTCTGCGGGATTAATATTTTGTACCGCGTACGTACAGGCGTTTAAGAATTCCTGTAATTTATGTCGCGCCGTTCCATCAAACTCGGGAATCATTGTTCGCGCTTCTTTTAATGATACATAGTGCGGGGCTGCGCTACGTCGGTTTCGGATATCGCGTTGAGTGCGTCCGTACGTTACGTCGAGTGGGACAGTGTTTGCATTTACTCGCGTTCCGTTTAAATTTGTTTGTGCGGTTTGTATATTTCGCATTTGTTCGCGCATGTGCTGCATTTCGGTTTGCATTTCGCGGAAACTGTGTACGAGTTCGGCGAGTAATACGTTACTCGTTCCTTCGGCCGGCTGACCTGCGTCCTCATAGACCGCGGCTACGTTTAGTTCGGCCTGTTGCGCTCGCATGCGCTCGATTTCTCTATCGACGGCTTCGTTGTCCATATTTACTTGCGCACGTGGCTCGAATAAACTAATATCAACTGATATCGGTGAATAATTTGTTCGTACTGTAACGCGACTTGGTCCGTCTTGTACTGAATTATCGTTATTATCCAGTTCGCGTCCCTCGGATGAATCAGAACTCGAATAATGTTCTTCTAAATTTTTTCGCACGCTTCTACGAATATCGAGCAGTCTCTTCTGCTACTCGTATCGGAGTTACAGTTCCGAATCTATTTGCCAATCGCGCTGGCACGCTGAGAAATCGCGGACTTTTAAATTTTACTTGTTTCGATGGTACTGACATTTAAATAAAGTTCGACTTACAGTAGTAGTACGGTGATTCACATGGTCGTAACTTATTGGGTCGCTTATCGGATCGCTCGACTGTTGATGCTGCTGGTGAGTCGTTGTCCCGCGTTGATGCGTCATCCGTCGGCGATGCGTCGTCCGTCTGCGTTGCGTTGCCTTGGCTGTGGATCGACGTTGGTCCTTGAGCGCTGGTGTTTCCTTTTGGCTTTCAGCTGCTTGGCCGTGATTTCTTTATCACTGTCGTCCGTGTGTGTTGCGTGCCGGTTGAGTCTATCTGCTTTAAGCAGTTGCTCTCAGTTGAGTCTAGCTGCTTTGTAGCAGTTGCTCTCTCCAGTTTATTAATTTTGTATTTTTTTTTTGTTGCAGGCGTTCAGGATCCAGAATGATCCTCGATCTCGGCTATCCCACCGCTGCTACCAAGATGTTGTGCCCGGCGCGGTACAGGGTGTGGGGTAGCCAGGAGTTTCAAGTTAATTCCTGGATTTTGGTGCAACTTTTATTATAAAATTCTTTTATACAAATATATTCATTTATTCGACATTAATCAGTTTCTTTCGAGCCCTCTCTTCGTCGTCCTTTTCTAAATCGCTTCAGATTTAGAATGTTTATCAATTTCGTCGGGTGTTTCGTCGTACTATAATGGTTAGCCCTCGGTCTCGCACTAGTTGTTTGATTTATAATTAACGACTGTCCGCCGCGGATTCGCGGTGGACGGCTTTTATTCCCTCGGTTTTGGGGATGTTTTGGAGGGGGTCGCCTAGCGACATGACCATGTATGGTCATGGAGGTTCTTCGTGGCGTCCAAAGTCCAAGTGCAAGCGAAGGAGGTTCAAAGTCGAATCCCTTCGTTAGCGTTTTCGCGTTTCCGGCGAGCGTTCTCACGCGTGGTTCGCTGAGATGGCGATTTTTGCGCGGTTCGCGAATATTCCATTATATTCTATTATAATATTATCAATGAAATAATAAGTTATAGTCTTTCGGACTATAATAATATATGTATATATATATATGTGTGTGTGTGTGTGTGTGTGTGTGTGTGTGTGTGTGTGTTTAAATTGTATTATATTAATATATACTTTAATATAAATAATTTTATACATCTTATTATTAATATTATATTAATAAAATCTTAATCATAAATCTTTTCTTGTAACGTAAACTTAGGAAAAGTTAACATATATTCAATATTTGTGTCAATAAAATTTTTTACTATTCACGAGTTCATGCTAGAGAAAAAAATTTATAATTGAACTCCAAGTAGGGAGATCATACCACTTGTATTATGTTTATATTTACAATTATATTTACAATGTATATAGAATATAAGCTATATTGTAGTGTATTTAATTATGCATATATGTATAATTAAATATATATATTATAATATAGATTATATTATTTTTATTTATAGTTAAATTACATTAATAATTTCAAACTTTCTCTTCTTGCATTATTATATATATACTTCTTAAGCAGTTAATTTGTATGCAAGATAATACATCGTATAATACATTGATTTATTAAAAAATAACAAGAATTATACGTATCTTTATACAATTACATATATATAACTATGTTCATTAAATTTTTATTAACATAATAAATAATAAATACTTGATAAATATTTTCTACTATAATTCTTCTCTGCTATTTTTAGCTAAGTTATTTATAAATATATATGTATTATCTTTAATTATACTTTATCTTATATATATATATATATATATATACAATAATAATTATTTAAGAACATATTTACTATAATGCAAATAGAGTTCAACATTCTTAATCTAAATATTGCAAGAAAAATTGCTAATAAAAAAGTTTGTATAAAGAAGTGATTATACATTTTCTGGATTATTATTGTTTGTGCAAGATAATTAGTATAATATGTAAAACTTTAAAAATAACTTGATCCTTTGAAAACTAAAGAAATATATACGAGGTGTGTTCAAAAAAAAGGTGACTTTTCAAATTTCGCGGGCTACGTACATTCGATTTTCGAATTTTTTTTTGTTATGTTGGTACACATGTCCCCAACATGTGTTGACATTATCAGCTGTTTTGCATGTTTGGTTTGTTTTTCACAGATATAAGGGTTAGACGTGTTTTGGTGTGCTTGGCGATTTTTTGCTATCGAAAAAAATGGATCAAAGAATCTGTATTAAATTTTGCGTGAAAAATAAAATTAAGTGCTTTGACGTACTTGAAATGTTGACTGCGGCATTTGGCGAGTCTACTCTGAGCAAAAAAAATGTTTACAAGTGGTACAAGCTCTTCACAGAAGGTCGAGAAGATGTTAATGACGATGCCCGCCCTGGACGCCCCAGCACGTCAACAACCGATGACAACGTCGAAGCAGTGAAGAAAATTGTTATGGAGAATCGTCGAATCATTATTAGAGAAGTTGCTGAGGATGTCGGCATATCGGTTGGCTCATGCCATGCAATTTTTTCGGGTGTTTTGGGCATGCAACGTGTGGCGGCGAAGTTTGTTCCGAAATTGCTGAATTTCGACCAAAAACAACGTCGCGTAGACATTGCTCAGGAGCTGTTGAATGCCGTCAACGACGATCCAGATTTGTTCAAAAGGGTCATAACTGGTGACGAATCATGGGTATATGGTTATGACGTCGAAATTAAAGCCCAATCATCCCAATGGAAGCGGTCAGAAGAGCCAAGACCGAAAAAAGCTCGTCAAGTTAGGTCAAATGTGAAGGTTTTGCTCACTGTTTTCTTCGATTAAAATGGCGTGGTGCATCGTGAGTTCTTGCCATGCGGTCGTACGGTCAATAAGGAATATTACCTTGAAGTTATGCGCTGTTTACGTGAAGCAATACGAAAAAAACGCCCGGAATTGTGGAAGAACCAGTCATGTATATTGCACCACGATAATGCGCCAGCTCACACGTCGTTGCTTGTTCGTGATTTTTTGGCCAAAGTCAACACCGTAACCATGCCTCAGCCACCATATTCACCGGACTTGGCCCCCTGCGACTTTTTCTTGTTCTCAAAACTGAAAAGACCCATGAAAGGACGGAGATTTGCCACGATTGAGGAGATAAAGACCGCATCACTGGAAGAGCTCGAGACCATACCAAAAAGCGCATATCAAAAGTGCTTCGAGGATTGGAAAAAGCGCTGGCACAAGTGTATAATATCTGAGGGGGATTACTTTGAAGGGGACAAAATAGATATTGATGAATAAATAAATATTTTTCGAGAAAAATAAAAAATCACCTTTTTTTTGAACACACCTCGTATAGGAAATATTTATAAAACATACATTGTTTGTTTTATTGATAAAAATTTACTGAATATATTTATAAAATTTATAAAATTTACTGAATATATTTTTAACATATTTTGAATATTTTTTTAAAAATATTTTTTGAATATAACCTATATACAATTCTTATTAGTGTTTTTCAATAAACTATACTATTTAAAAAAATATATGTATTACATATATAAGTTATCTTGTATTAATATTCTAAAATTCTTGTATTAATATTCTTAATATTCTAAAAAATGTATAGGCACTTCTTTATACAAGCTTCTTTATAAACAAACTTTTCTTACAATATTTAAATTAAATTAATAAATTTAAATCTATCCACATTAGTACATTATTATGGTATATATAAGATAAAGTTTAATACATGCATTTTTATAAATAACATATTGTAATGAGTTAAGAATATACGTACTAACTTAATTAGAATTCAACATTACGTATTAATCACATTTAAATATTACAGGAAGAGTTTACTTATACAAAAGCTTATATAAAGGAGTAGCTATAGATTTCCTAGATAACAAGCTTGTTGTACAAGCTTCTTTATAAGCAAACTCTTCCAGCAATATTGAAATTAGATTAGTAATAATGAATGCTATTCGCATTACATATACTCTTAAATCATTACTGCGCATAGTATATAAGATAACGTAGAACATATAATGCATATCTACAAATAACTTCCATATATTATCTTGCATATGTATTAATGTTTTATTAAGAGCACATACAATAATGCAGAGAGGATTTAAAATTATTAGTGTAATTTCACTACAAACAAAAATAATTATAATTATAATTATAATTAAACAGTAATCGGGCTTAAGGAGCTAATATTATGCAATAATGTTAAAGTCAATAAATAAGAATAGATTTAATAATAGTTGTAATACATTTAAATTAAGTAACTATTAATGACTGTGCGCATTATGTGATGAAATGTATAAGTAACTATTAATGAATATGCGCATTATATGATGAGATGTAAACGTACGTTTCTGTCCTCAACTGGACTCTCTTCAGTACAATTAAATAAGTTTTAGGAAAATTAACACTTAAAAATTACAAGGATTACGCTTATCGCATGAATGGAATCCAGGTGGACCGTATATTCGGCTGTGTAAATTAACTGTGCAATTTCTTAGCAGTAATTAGCTGTCGACCACGTGGTGGATGTTTCCAGAACGTCTCTCCTCCTCTCATATTCTCCGTACAGTGTCTTGGCAAAGACAAGCAGAAAGAAACAAGCAAAGAGGCCGTGATTGTTCTAAATTCAGATTAGATCCGTAAATCTATTAGTTGTCTAACTATAACTCGAAAATTAAAAATTCTTTGTTAAACACTCACCACATGAAATCGATCGAATAAAACGACGCAATAAAGCCACAGTACAGAATAATACATCCGTCTCGATGAAAGACATTAAATAGACTATTAGTGTCAAAGTTCAGAGATAAACAAAGCGTCCAAAATCAAAACAAAATCATGACGTTAAGTATAATAAAAATCTTTGAACCGGAAACAAAGAAAGTACGTTGATTTATGATTAAAATTTTTTGAAAGTTTCAATGATCGGTAAATAGGAATCATGTAATAATTCGGTATCTTCTTGTAAATTAAGACCCGCAGTCTGTCTCTTTATGAATAACATTTCAGATGTTAATCTCCTAAAATAGCATGGCTCATTGTCAAGAATCTGAACGCCCTCCCAATCAAAATCATGTTTATGTTGGAGTCTATGTTCGGTGATAACAGAATTTTTTTGAGTGCAACTATTTATCTGGTTGTGATGCTCTGCAATTCTAGTTTTTATTAATCTTTTAGTTTGGCCGACGTACGAGGCCTCACAATCCTTGCAATTAATGCGGTAGACAACATTATTCTTAGAAAATTTGGGGAAAGAATCCTTTAAAGCTCTGATATATGGTTTTAAATTATCCCAGCCAGTATAAGCGGGTCGAAAACCGGCTTTCTTCGTGAGCGAATTAAATTTTTCGGATACTGATTTTATATAAGGTGCAAGAAAAAAGGTCGAGGATCTGCAGTCTTGTTTATTTTAGAATCTAATAAATTATTCCGGTTGAGTAAATATTTTAGACGGGAATTAATTGTGTCAAATATAAAATTAAGCGGATAACCATTGTTAATGAGAATTTCTATGATAAGGGTAAAATTTTTTTGATGAAAAGTAGGATCCGACAAAAGAAAAAACTTTGTCTGTCCAATTATCGTGCCCTTTTTTTGACATATCGGATGGTGTGAGAAGTAATTTAAGTAACGTCCAGAAAATGTAGGTTTATGATACCAGTCAAAAATAAAATGGCCATCCTGCACGATGATAGTTACGTCTAGAAAATTCAATCTGTTATTGTCTACCTATTTCCATCGTAAACTGTAATCTGGGATGGAAAGAGTTGAAAACATCTAACACTGATTCAAGGCCATTGCATGGAACCATTAATGCTATATCGTCTACATATCTGATATACATCGGGATCGTGAACGGCAAACTAGACAATGCCTTATATTCTAAGTCCTGCAGTACAATGTCCGCTATGATAGGCGACAAAGGAGAACCCATCGGTGTGCCAAATGTCTGTTTGTAAATTATATTATTGAAAGTGAAATAAGTGGAGTTTAAGATTAAATTCACAGCCACAATGAACTCATCTAACGGAATGCTTGTATTCCCTGAAATGAACTCCCATCTGTTTTTTATTCCTTCTATAACTAAATTATGTGGAATGTTCGTGAAAAGAGAGACAACGTCAAATGAAACTAAACGAGAATTATTCTCAACTGTAATTTTTTGTAGTTTTTGGATTAAATGGAAGCTATTTATGACTTGGCTTATTGGAAGTGGAATATTTTTATGAATGATATCATGTATGAAGGCCGCTAGTGAATAAAGAGGAGTGTTGATGGAAGACACGATTATCCTAAGAGGGTGATTCTTCTTGTGTACTTTTGGTAGTCCATATGCCCTAGGAAGGACAGCAACAAAAGAATTCAACTGCCTATACTTCACTGTCGTGATGTAATCAAGTCTCTTCCATTTCATAAGTAGTGTGTGTAGATCCGAAGTTAATCTATTAATAGGATTTCGTGGTACTGTCATATATGTATTGGTGTCATTAAGTAAATTCTCCATGTTGTTGATGTACGTAATTCTGTTCATAGAAACTGTAATGTTACCCTTATCAGCACGAGTAAATAAGATGTCCGGGTTCTTTTTCATAAAATCTTTTGTTACTAAGACTGCGCTCTTAATGTTCTTATTTATCTCAGTAGGCGAAAAACTATTATTATCTAAATTTTTTATGATGGGTATGGAACGGTTTCTGATGTCCATTACTAATTCCGGTTCTCTTTTTTTAATCTTGCAAAAATTGTTCTCAATATGTTTGATAATTTCGGATGTCAACCTATCATTATATGAAAAGGGCGGTAAACAAAACCCATCACCCAATTATAATAGTCCTTAAACTTCAATCGGGATATCTTTGGTTGAAAGATTGACAAACCATTTTTTTCGAAGAGTTAGAGGCGATGATGGAGGGTCTGCAAAAGAAGAAGGACAGACTTTTACCTCCCTATCATAACCTCCATTGCTAGTCGATACTTTATCTGACAATTGTTGTTCTGACTGATTTTTTCGATGTGAGACCACAAAAATCGACTGTATATTGTCTTCACTGTTGTTAAAACCATTCTCACGTTTTTTATGCGAATAAGAATAATTGATGGGCATCATTCTCTCACACCGTTCATGTTTGTCAATGAGCCATTGCCATTTACTATTAACCCTTCTAAATTCTCTCAAAAAATAAAAATTAAGAGAGCGAGTAACACCTATATAAAAAAACATTCCATAAATGTGTTACGTCCGGTGGACTTCACGATTCTGTTCTTTCATCGAAACGTTTCTTAGAAGTAATCAACGATTGGGTTGAATTTAAAATAAGGAAAACCCAACTCGGATAAGCAAGCACAGTGGCCAGTCGAGATAGCGCTAAGAAAATTTAAATAAAATTTTAATTTACGAGCCTCGGAAAAATAAGAAATTCAATCCACGCATATCAATGGTTCGTCTCAGAGACTTTGAACTAAGAGCCTTGGTCATCGGGAAATTGACCAAAAGGTAAATACGAGCAGAGCCATAAAATTAATATCGCACGTGCGTTGGATCAATAGGCCATTCTCAATCAAATCGTAGGAGATAAGGAAATCAGGTCGCTCCCACTCTCTACTGGATAGTGAAGCCAAACCTTAAGAAAAAGGGCTTAACCAATTAGAGGTCTAAGATACCCTCTCTTCCTAAAAATCTAACTCCTTGGCCCTAAGAAGGAAGTAATAGAAATCATTTGATTCGATTTTCAAAGATTCTCACCATCCAGTAAGGAGGAGGAGCAACTACTTTAAAAAATGCAAGCGCAAGGCGCGAGAGCTCTCTAGTTTATTAGTTCATTAAGTTCTCTAGTTCACTTGCGTTCACTAATAAGTATTAACTAGCACTATAAGCAGTACAGTTGACAGCTCCAGTCAAGATTCAGTTATTCAATTTTAAAATTATATAGCCTCGGGGATCCTTTTTTTGCATTATGCAGTTAAGTTATTAATTTGCTTTATATCACAGTGAAAATGATTTTGTTAACATTTAATCGTGCATCATGTGAAATTTCTGATGAACATCTTTATTACTCGACTCTTCATGTTATCAACCTCCGACTTCAGCCATTGTAATTTTATCAACGCACTTATTTTTGTGATTCCAACGAGTTGTGAGTAAATTTGAGCAACTATTATTTTCTCCCTTTTCCATATCTTACTATCTCATAATTTAAACATCTATGTCTAACAAATAATTTTAAACAGTTTAATAATCATTAAATCTTTACTAATTACTATCAATCAATCAATCCTTGTTTCACCTCTCCTCCAGCCTCATTCCTTGTTCTTCCTAATTCGCCTAGAATCTCCGAAAGGCGATTCGCGAATAAATCTCCTACGATCTTCATTCATTCGTTCAGGATTTCAGCATTGGAATTCACGAATATTTCCTTTATTTATTCGCTCTGGATTTCAGCATTGGAATTCGCGAATAAATCTCTTACGATCTTTATCCATTCGTTCAGGATTTCAGCATTGGGATTCACGAATATTTCCTTTATTTATTCGCTCTGGATTTCAGCATTGGAATTCGCGAATAAATCTCCTACGATCTTTATCCATTCGTTCAGGATTTCAGCATTGAGATTCACGAATATTTCCTTTATTTATTTGCTCTGGATTTCAGCATTGGAATTCGCGAATAAATCTCCTATGATCCTTATCCATTCGTTCAGGATTTCAGCATTGGAATTCACGAATATTTCCTTTATTTATTCGCTCTGGATTTCAGCATTGGAATTCGCGAATAAATCTCCTAAGATCTTTATCCATTCGTTCAGGATTTTAGCATTGGAATTCACGAATAATTTCCCTGTTCGTCGAGAATCTCCGCAAGGCGATTCACGAACATTTCCTTGTTCGTTGAGAATCTCCGCAAGGCGATTCACGAACATTTCCTTGTTCGTTGAGAATCTCCGCAAGGCGATTCACGAACATTTCCTTGTTCGTTGAGAATCTCCGCAAGCCGATTCACGAACATTTCCTTGTTCGTCGAGAATCTCCGCAAGGCGGTTCGCGAACGATTCCTTAATTTTCATTTCCTTTTAATTGCCTTTTCTGATTTATTTATCAACAATTCTTATTGTTTTCTATCTTTATATTTCGTTTAAGCCCTTCTTTATATATATTTAACTCTTCATTTCTATTTTTCTTTACTCCCTTTCATTTTCTTTTAATTTCCCATTCCTTTCATTATTATTATTTTTCCTTTTTTTTTCTTTCTTCTCTCTTTATATTATTTTCCTTTATATTATCACTACTTTGGGAGAAATTATTGAAATAGATGAATAATTTTCGAACTTAGACTTCGGCGAATCTTTTATCTCAATTTTGTTATTGTATTTTAATTTGGACTTGTATTTCGCCGATTTTAGAAAATTTTAATTCTAACTATAACACATACTCGAGAATATATACATACACGCACACATACTCACTCATGCATAACTATAACTGCTAAGATGTATTTTTCTTTCCTTATATTTTTTTATATAATATATGTATTTTTTAATTTAATGTAGAATTTAATTATTTAATCCGTTCTCTTCCCTAAATCCTGAGATCGCACTAGGTCCTATCCCGCACAAGGATTAGATTCCTTTACACCGTTGGTGCTCGAGTGGAACTCCGTCCAGGACGCTGAGGCTGTTGGCGGCCCATTTTCGAAGCGGGAACCCGCCCGCCATGCAGAGGCTGCGGAGCTCCCGTTGGACCACGGTGGCCTCCGAGAGGGTGCTCGCGCCGGTCACGACGTCGTCCACGTAAGTATCGCGGCGCAGCGCGACAGCTCCTTGCGGAAATCGATGGCCTTCGTCGTCGGCGAGCTGGTGCAAGGTCCGTATGGCGAGGAATGGTGCGCACGCCAAGCCATACGTGACCGTTCGTAGGCGGTACTCGCGGATGTCGTCGGCGGCACGGTGCCGCCAAAGTATACGCTGGTGCTCGCGGTCGTCCGGATGGATGAGGATTTGGCGGTACATTTTTTCAATGTCCGCCACGAACACGTAGCGGTGCCAGCGCCAGCGGAGGAGCACGTCAGCAAGAGCTGGCAGAAGGTTGGCTCCAGTCAGTAGATTGGCGTTAAGCGACGTGCCGGTGATTGTGAGCTGGGAGCCGTTGAATACGACCCTGAGTTTGGTGGTGGTGCTCGTTTCACGCAACACTCCGTGATGCGGTAAGTAGCATTTGGCCGTGTCCGTTTCCTCGGATGAGGGGTTTACCGTCTCCATATGTTGCAGGTCGTCGTATTCCTGCATGAAGTCGTGGTAGAGGCCGCTGAATCGAGCGTCCTTTTCGCAGCGACGCTCCATGGCGTGGAGCAGGCGTTCGGCCGGCCGGCGGGTTTCCAGGAGCGAAGGCGGAGCGCCGGAGAAGGGGAGCCTCACGACGTAGCGGCCCGCGTCGGTGCGTGTGTGCTCGCGGACGAAGATGTCCTCGCATCTCCTTTCTTCAGGGGTGAGAGCGACGGGAGTAGCGGGCTCCTTTTCCTGCTCCCAGAAAAGCTGCACCAGGTCGGTCAGCTGGCGGTCTACCGTGCATTGGTGTGCGGCGCGGCCTCCCTGGGTGGTGACTCGGTGATCGCCCGATAGGATCCACCCGAGAGAGGTTTTCTGAGCGATGGGCTCATTCTGGCTTCCCTTGCGGAGTCCTTCCTGGAGGATGGCGGAGTAGGCATCCGCGCCGAGCAGAATCTCGATCTTGTCTCGATCCAGGTATTGTGGGTCGGCCAGGGGAAGACCGCGTATGTGAGGCCAGGTGATGCTGGATCACACGACGGGCCCCTGGTATGTCGAGAGACGCGGAAGGATATACGCCTGAACCGAGAGCGCTGCTCCAGTGATCGCCGAGGAAAGCGTCATTGACAGCCGTCCACGGGTTGCTCCGGATGCTCCTCCAATGCCGGCAATTCTCGCATTCGTGGCGAACCGACGTGTATAGTGCGGTCTCGCTCGAACTCTAGTACGAGCGGCATAACGCCGTCTCTCTCGCATTCGTGGCGAACCGACGTGTATAGTGCGGTCTCGCTCGAACTCTAGTACGAGCGGCATAACGCTGTCTCTCTCGCATTTGTGTCAAGTCGTGAACAGTGCGGTTCGCGTATTCGCAGATAGCAATATTCATTCTATCTATATCGGACCAGCGGACTGACGTGTATAGTGCGGTCTCGCTCCAACGCTTATCCGAGCGGCATAACGCCGTCTCGCTCGCTCTCACGCGAACGGCCGATATAGCGCCGTCTCGCTCACTCTCACGCGAACGGCCGATATAGCGCCGTCTCGCTCGCTCTCACGCGAACGGCCGATATAGCGCCGTCTCGCTCGCTCTCACGCGAATGGCCGATATAGCGCCGTCTCGCTCGCTCTCACGCGAACGGCCGATATAGCGCCGTCTCACTCGCGCTCACGCGAACGGCCGATATAGCGCCGTCTCGCTCGATCTCGCTAACAGCTGATCGATAGCTGTCTCGCTCGCTCTCACGCGATCCGCGTAGTGGTGCGCTCTCACCCTACATCGCGTCTTGAGACCAGCAAACGTGTATCATTTTGTGACTTTAACAATAAACGGACAGTAATTCGCTCACCGGTCTTACTGTAACACATTAAGTCGCAACTGCAGATCATTTCATTCCTATCAAGTATTCCTTACGCGATCACGCACTGAGAGAGCTTGCGATACCCCCGCGGGTATGTGCCGGCAAAGTTCAATCGCGCTTACCCGGTCTTACAAAATTCGCGAATCGAAAGCGCGATCCCGAACATTTTGGTTCCGCGACGAACGGTTCGAACCAAAATGTTCGGGATCGCGCTTTCGATTCGCGAATTTTGTAAGACCGGGTAAGCGCGATTGAACTTTGCCGGCACATACCCGCGGGGGTATCGCAAGCTCTCTCAGTGCGTGATCGCGTAAGGAATACTTGATAGGAATGAAATGATCTGCAGTTGCGACTTAATGTGTTACAGTAAGACCGGTGAGCGAATTACTGTCCGTTTATTGTTAAAGTCACAAAATGATACACGTTTGCTGGTCTCAAGACGCGATGTAGGGTGAGAGCGCACCACTACGCGGATCGCGTGAGAGCGAGCGAGACAGCTATCGATCAGCTGTTAGCGAGATCGAGCGAGACGGCGCTATATCGGCCGTTCGCGTGAGCGCGAGTGAGACGGCGCTATATCGGCCGTTCGCGTGAGAGCGAGCGAGACGGCGCTATATCGGCCATTCGCGTGAGAGCGAGCGAGACGGCGCTATATCGGCCGTTCGCGTGAGAGCGAGCGAGACGGCGCTATATCGGCCGTTCGCGTGAGAGTGAGCGAGACGGCGCTATATCGGCCGTTCGCGTGAGAGCGAGCGAGACGGCGTTATGCCGCTCGGATAAGCGTTGGAGCGAGACCGCACTATACACGTCAGTCCGCTGGTCCGATATAGATAGAATGAATATTGCTATCTGCGAATACGCGAACCGCACTGTTCACGAACGGTTCCGCGGCAGATGCAACCGCTGGGCCAAGGTCTCAGTGACCAGAGAGACCTCGGATCCTTGGTCGATCAGCGCTCGGACGTCGTGCGGTCTCCCCAGGTGGTCCTTGATAGTGACCCGAGCGGTGGCAAGGAGGATCGCCTTGCGGTCCGACGCGACGTGTGTGGCGGACAACGAATTCGCTCCGTCGGACTGGACGTACGCGTCGTGTAGTAGTGTGTGATGCCGTGCTTTACAAGAGAAGCACGTCTTGACCGACTGGCATTTGGCCAGGAAGTGATTCCCGAGGCAATTAAAGCAAAGCTTGTTCGCTTCTACAAGGTTCTTTCGTTCTGGCGCGGTCTTTGCTTTAAACGTCGCGCACTGCATAACTGAATGTTTTTCTTTACAGACGGCGCAAGTAGAGGAGTCGGACGCGCGCTTCACGAAGTGCGACTTCGCGGACCGAGAAGTCTCTCCAGACTTTGCGACGGTAGCTGGCTGCACGGCATTCAGTGTGAGGACTTGTTTCGCGATGAAATCCATAAGGATTTCATTGGTCGGTGGGTCGACGGAATCGCGGATGGAAGACTCCCACTGCATCCTGGTTTGCAGGTCGAACCGCTCCACAAGGAGGTAATTAAACAGATCCATACCATGTGTGTCTATCGGCCTGTCAATGCTCTCCTGTGCATTGATGGCGGTTGTGGCGGCGTTGTAGATTCTGCTGAGTTCGTCAGCGGTCGCGGCCTTCATTTTTGGCACGGCGGTGTACGCGGCGAAGTTGGCGCGAATGAGCTCCCGCTTGTTCTCGTAATGAGAACTCAAAATGGACCACGCTCGCTCGTAGTTGCCCCCGACAATTGGCAACGATCTAATTAATTTTTCCGCAGGACCCTGCAAGCTCGTACGGAGATAATGGAGCTTTTCCACGTTGGAGATGGACGAGTTGCTCCCGATGATTGACTGGAAAATGTCGCGGAACGCGGGCCAATCTCCGTAGGCGCCAGAGAACGACTGGAGTTTAATTCGCGGCAGCGGAGTTTTGAGCGTCTGCTCTTGGTGAGTCTCAGTCTTGGGCGCGGCGAACGATTCACCCTTGAGCTTATTTGCGTAGTCCACCAGCATGCTTCTTTGCATCACGTAAGTGGTTTCCGCGATATCAATAAAATCAGCTTTGGCGTACTCACTCTCAAGATATTTATCTTTCAGCGCCGCTACGATGAGATCATGATGGGTCTCGAATCGGGTCCACAAAGTCTCAAGAATGCGGAGGCGAGCCTGGATTGCTTCGGCCGTGATGCTCGAGACGCCCATCTTGCGCAGATTGTCCACGGAGCGAGACATTCGCCCGTGGATGTCGTTCTGCGCTTCCAATAACGCCTTCAGATCGGTACTCATTGTGGTCGTCTTTCTGCACAGGTTCGCGCACTGGATGTCACGAGAATTTCACTCACGAACTGCGGATGCGGATGGTGATCCGGCTCGAAGGACCAGAAAATGTTCGCGAGTGAAAGAGTTTGAGCGGAAAGCGCGTTCAGAAGAATTTCGCGACAGGACACCACACACTTTTATGCAACGATAAGACACGACACGTATATTTTTGTGGTTTTTATGAAGTTTTATTTTGACGACACACAATAAAATATGAAAGTTTTACACAAAAAATAATAGTTTCAGACACTGATGAGAAGCGAGAATAACGAAAAGTCCGAGTGAGAAAGCAGTCGTGTATAAGAAGCGGTTGTACAAAGCGGTTTAACGTAGAAGCGATTTACAGTGCAAGCGGTTTAGCGGAAAAGTGCGAGACTTTGACTGTGTGGGGTCCATGCGCTGGGCCCTTTATATAGCGGACGTGATTTTTGATCCCGTTATAGCGTGGACCAATTAATTTGGGAAATTGGCGGTGACCTCAGGGTGCCGTTCGTAATTGGCCGCCGATGAGGTCATGAATTAATTTTTTAACTGTTGCCATGCGCACGATTCTTTTCGATCAGCTGATTGGCGATCAGCTGATTGTGACGTATGGGCGCGCATGCCCGTCTGTCGCTTAGATTCCAGTGACGGTTGACAATGTTATTGTTAATCGTTTATGATACGCGTTTTTTATGTGCTGAAAAAACAGGCGAGAACTCGAACGATCGAGTTTTTGTTGAAAATAAAGTTTTCGAGAAGTTTCTCGACGCCCGTTACTTTTGAATTTTCGGGTTTCATAATAGGAAAAATGCTGATTTTACTTTACTCGAATTTTCATATCGGTGATAATTTATGAATTTCGAACAGCTAGCCACTACTTTTTCCCATCTTTCTGGCAGCATACGGATACCGCGTCGGAAGAACTCTTCATCTTTTGAGGCTATCCACGAATCGACCCAATTTTTGGTATCTTCATATGATGTGAAGTGTTGCTCAGACAGGCCATGTGCCATCGATCGGAACAAGTGATAATCGGAAGGGACAATGTCTGGTGAATACGGCGGGTGGGGTAGGACTTCCCAATTGAGTGTTTCCAAGTAGGTTTTGACCGGCGCCGCCGCAACATATGGACGAGCATTATCATGCAGGAGAATAATTTTGTCGTGTCTGGAGTAGTAGTAGGCGCGTTTTTCCTTGAGTGCTCGACTCAATCTCAATTGTGTTCGGTAGAGAACCCCAGTAATGATTTCGTTCAGTTTGAGCAACTCATAATACACAACACTAAGCTGATCCCATCAAATACACAACATGAGCTTGGCTGTCGATGTTGAAGCATGGCCACGTGGTCCCCATGATTTCCTCTTCTTTGGGTTATCGTAGTGGATCCATTTTTCATCACCAGTGACTATAGATACGATGCAAAAAACCCTTTCGTTTATGCCTGGCAAGCAGCATTTCACATGTGCAAAATCGGCGTTCAACGTTTCTCGGCTTCAGTTCATATGGAACCCAATTTCCTTGCTTTTGAATCATTCCCAACGATTTTAAACGATGTGAAATTGCTTGTTGAGTCACTCCTAATGTAAGTGCAAGTTCTTCTTGCGTTTGGCACGAATCTTCCTCCAATAATGCTTCCAATTCTGCGTCTTCGTACACTTTCGGCCTTCCGCTACGTTCTTTGTCTTCGACGTCAAACTCACCGTTCTTACTTATGAAACCACTCACGACAACTTCTCTCACTTAAAGCAGCCTCGCCATATGCTTCTACAAGCAATTGATGCGCCTCAGCTGCAGATTTCTTCAAATTAAAGAAGTAAATCAAAAGTTCCCGCAAATGACGCTTATTCGGCTCAAAACTCGACACGAAAAAAATTCTTCGCACGAAAAAAATTATGTGATGCTAATACAAAATCGCTAATATTTCAAGGTTATGGTTTTGCCAGATGTCCAACCTTACGATATGACGTTTTACATTTGACAATTTCAATCATAATTTACTGGTGAGGCCATCTTTTGTCAAACGGCGGAGACTTATTTGTACTCCTAATATGTATATGTAATATATATACAGGGTGAGGCATCTAAAACAGGCCACCTGAATAACTCCGTTGGTAAGCCGAATACAAAAAAATTGTTCAGACAAAAGTTGTATGGTTTCAAAGGGGACATATGATGGTGTCATTAGTTTAATCTTGAAGAGCCACCCGAAGGTCACGTGAAGGTCAGCTCCAACTTTTTAAATGGGACACCTTATATGCTTTTGCATATTCTTGTAGCTCATCTCAAGAGCTTTCCAAAACACTACAATTATGTTAGTTTTCATTAAATACTTTCCAAGTTATGAGGCTTGAAATCATTTTTTAATTTTACATAAACCATAAAATATCTTGTAAAATATTCATTTTTCGATTATTTTACCTTAATACTTTTATGTACAAAATAATGAGAAGAATCAATTGGTGTAAAGAAAACACATAATTACTTCGAACAAAAAAATGTAATTGTTAATTGCAAATTACATTTTTTTGTTCGAAGCAATTATGTGTTTTCTTTACACCAATTGATTCTTCTCATTATTTTGTACATAAAAGTATTAAGGTAAAATAATCGAAAAATGAATATTTTACAAGATATTTTACGGTTTATGTAAAATTAAAAAATGATTTCAAGCCTCATAACTTGGAAAGTATTTAATGAAAACTAACATAATTGTAGTGTTTTGGAAAGCTCTTGAGATGAGCTACAAGAATATGCAAAAGCATATAAGGTGTCCCATTTAAAAAGTTGGAGCTGACCTTCACGTGACCTTCGGGTGGCTCTTCAAGATTAAACTAATGACACCATCATATGTCCCCCTTGAAACCATACAACTTTTGTCTGAACAATTTTTTTATATTCGGCTTACCAACGGAGTTATTCAGGTGGCCTGTTTTAGATGCCTCACCCTGTATATATATATTATATATATGTATATATATGTACTGTGACGTGACACTTGGCAGTCCGTCACAAGGATTGCGAGATCTGATCGGTATTATGTTTGGGCCCTCGTTCTCCCCTGATTTAGGGAGAGGGAGAGCGAATATTGGAGGCGAGGGTAGGCTCGCCTTTCTTTTTTTTGTGTTAATTATTAGAGTAGAGTTAAGCATGCGTGAGGGAGGACGTGACGAGATCTCATCCGGTGAATCGACCCGGCGAAGAAGACCAGATTAGAAGACGCGCGGAACAAGCGGAGGCGCCGACTATAAGGAGAATGCCGAGTTAAGTATCTGTATCAGCTGTATAAAATCTGTATCAGCTGTATTAAAACATCCACCTAAGCCTACCGCTGCCGCTCCTATACGTTCCCTTATGCTCAGCAGGTACGAGGAATAATCACGGGAAAAGCCGGCCGACAATTAGAAGCGAACATCGGAACCCCGAAACGGAGCTAGCTCGGCCGAATTAAGCGCTACAGGATACCGATAAAATAAAGGGGAGCGGCTGCCGGAAAAATCCTCACCAGGCTGAGACTAAAAAGAGCCGAGAAAACGGGACAAAGCAACAAGGAGGCGACAGGCGTAAATGCGGCCCTGAAGGCCGCAGGAGTGATAAGAATCCGCGCCGATCCTGAGGGTTGCGGAAGCGCCACAAGTGGCCTACTTATGTATTAATTGCCGGCACGATTCCGACGGGCCTCCCGCTCATCACTGTTCGGCGGACCGCTGTACGAGGACGACGGCCCAGATTGATCGAGATATTGATTTTCCGTGCGGATGCCGAGAGAGACAAGGACGTCAAGGAGTCATCGGTGAGACGAGCGTCGATCTCCTCAGACCGTTTTATCGTAAAATATTAGGTAGAGTTAGCCCGAACGGAGTCCACGCCGAATTGTTGCCGTCGAAATTTCATTATTCGAGACTACTCCGAGTTTCGATAATGGCGTAGTAGAATACGACGGCCGGCAGATATACTTTGTTCGAGCTACGATAATATTAAGTGCCCTCTCTCCCGGTTAAGCGCCAACAGTCAAATTTATTGTCTTTTCTTTTGCGATTATTGTGCTTGTAAAATTCTGTATAAAGTAGCTTGTGATACAACGAACTCACACACGAAGGCGATCGCGATATTTAAGCGATATTTAATAGCCGGCAAATGCATTGCGGCATTGACTCACGTATCCCCGCGACGTGAATCGTTCGACCTTTATTATAATTTACGCTGTTTACGCTTTTGAGATTATATTACCGTTAATTTTTCGCGCTTATGTTCGGTCGTCTATCTTGTATAATTATCTAATCATTTTATTCTTCCGTTATTACCGTAATTCTGTGTATTTGTCTGATCGACTCACGTGTATAATCGATTCTATTAACATCGCGTTTGACGACTTTAACTACCATCATTATTTAATATTTTTGATTTATAACAGATGTCATTATTAGAAGCATCATCGCGGTACTTATTATTAATAATTCAAGCGGAATTTGCAGCTGGCGAGACCCTGTGACGTCTCGTTCGGTGCAACATTCCAAGACTTTCTTACGCCGTTTTTTTTATCGCGTAACACGTGATACCGCGGTGATCGCGCACGAACGCCGGCCCGTCGCTGCCGGAAAATTTTCTATAATCGATTGTAAATCATCATCTTGTAATATCCGTGAATCTGTCTCATTAAACTTTATCTATTTGTTAAATATATTCATCATTGTTATTCTAATCTTTTGTCTTATTTGCAGCCATCTTATATTCTCGATCCTTCCTTGTTAATTATTAAAACGGATCGCCCCCTCTGCCATTTTCGAGAGAGGACTAGCCGAGCGTCCGTCACGATTAATTGAGTAGCATTTTCTGTGTATTATAGCGAGATATCGAATCATTTTTTTTGAAGTGGTGCGGATTATCGCACTTGGCGCCCAAAAACTTGTGGAGAATAAAATTGAGCAAAAATCGCGCCGAAGGTGTGCCGTGGACCAATAACACCGGCCAGATCTCAATATCAGCCC